CAAGGGCAGGGCTACAGATGGGTCCCTCTAGTAACATAGGAGGTAAAGGGAAGCCATAGGAAATAACAAAAATATTCTGGTATTTTTAAACTTAGAATTTGTCTTACAATCTCTTCACAACAAATTCGTGAGAATTTCACAAAACAAGACATGAACAAATCAATAGAGGAAACAGCGTCTGAACCACAATGCAGGCATTTATTGTCTCCTTGTGCATTAAATTACCCAATTAATGTTTCCTGTTGCCTTAGCCTGTTCTAATAAGGCTTGACTGTCGCTTATCAGCCCCTAATCTTCTAAATGATGAGCAAGAACTGCAGCTGGATTTACAAGAGCCTTTGGGGCACAATACCCAACTCCCAGAGCGCTGAAGATCCATCCTTGGAATTATGCTTATTAGGGGTTCTCATTCATTGCCATTTACTACACGCAGATACCTACTAATAAGACCAGCTCGGCTTTATTATTTATTATTTATTAAGTACTACTAAAGTAGATACACTGTACAACATATCTCTGTGTATAACACTTTCTTCAAAAAATAAGGTTTTTCTTGCATAAAAATGTAATTTCAGATACCAATACTCCTTCAAATCAACTGAGTTTGCTGCTTTGTGGGCTTATTTTTCCTATAAGGGTGACCTATAGTTTAAAATGTTTTTGGGTGAGAAAAATGTTTCCAGAGTAACTGAAAGTGATCTTTATGGGCTGATTGCATGAGTTAACTAATTAGAATAACAATTTTAAGAAAGAGTTGCAGGTAATGTGCAACTAACAGGGATAAATTATTTTTAATAGACAATAGTAGTGTCTTCAGAATGATAAATACTTTCCTGTTCTGTAATAAAAAAATAAATAAATCTATTTTACTAAGAGAGCCTTCTTATGAACTGTGAGGCTGGTGGGGGGGGGAGGAGTAGATTCATTTAGATAAAATGCTATTAAATTGCCTGTATACTCTCCTGTCAGACAACTATCGACCCCATCCCATGGGAGAAATTGATTTCTGTGCAGAGAGCTATGTGCTTTCCTCGGTGTATTGCTTCAGTGCTATTGCTCTGGTAATCACACACGGCTGCTGCTTTTCCTTTCTCTGTCTATTTGTTGTGGAAAGACTGATTGAGAGACATGAGGGATTTAGATTGCCATATTTGTTGTTATTTGACCCCTTCAATTATATTCTGTTAAAAATGTAAATTCTTCATTTGTAGTAGTGTACATACGAATTTGCTTAAGTGGTCTGCGAGTAAAGCTTTCAGGAGGATGCATTTACCTTTGTTCTCCTGTAGACCCATTAGAGCGGACTCAGTTAAGTGAATTTAAATGCAGCTGAGGATGGTCCCTGCTTCAGTAAATCTATTTAGGTTAGCTCGCAACACAACAAGATCTAAAGAGGGGAAAAATAATCCAAACTAGTAACGCCAGAATCATATAAGTGCCAAAAAGTGAAACGATACGTGATTAAGGATCCTTGCTTTGGTTTGGATTGGTTTTCCCTCTTTTAGGCATAAATACCTTTTGTCAACTCTCACTAATGATATTTAACAAGACAAAAATACTTGAGGTCAATAAACGCCAACATTAAAGTTGAAAACCTGTTTTAAATCTTCCCCCCTCTCGAGGTAAATAATAAAAAAGATCTTTAATTATCATGAAACGGTCACACATATTTTTCTTGTATAATACAACTTCAATTTACAAAACTGTTTGTCTGACGAGTAATGTGCGTACTTGGCTTTTTCTACTATTTCTTGTCATTTTTACATTGCTTTAATTGTAACGACTCACTTTAGCACCATTACAGCTAAAGCAGGTGTTTGAATGCCTGCTTGTGGAAAGGTAAGTCCTTGCTGCTCTCTCGCAGTGTTCTGTGGCATTTCCACATGGGGGAATCTCTGAATGGCAAACAGCCAGGAGACACCTTCTTGCTCTACCTCCTGCCAGTACTAAGGGCATTGAACAGAACACAGATCTGCTGGTAGATCACAGCTACATTTTAGTAGTCACAGGCTGCTGCATTCGGCCTTGGGAGTGAAGTGGCTTAATTAGAGCCATGTACTAGCCCAGACTTGATGACCAGTGGACTGCCAACTCCATCTTTGCACACATACACCAAGGCTATGCCAAATATCCAGAGTTTCAATGCTTTTATTTTTATTACACTGGCTGTACAAGGCTGCAAAAGCAGACTCACTGGTGATCTGTAAAAATCAATAAAGACAGGATGCAGCTTCTCCATTGCCTTTCACTTGCCCACATCCTCTAATCTGTAGTAAACAGACATAAAATGCTTCTCTGTCAAAATCACATTGCCTTACACTGACCTTATGCTCTCTCCCTCCCGTGTAAAGAGAGGGCAGAACTGTGATGGGGCAGCCGTGAGCGGGGAACGCTAAGTGCTTTCAAAAAATTTATCTGTGGTCTTGGGCATGTAGCCAGCTTCCTCTGCCTGTACCCCAGTAGCTGTTTGACAAAGCTGCCACAGCCCTTCTTAGAGGTGACATGAGGCCAGGGGGGCAGAGCCCACATCAGCAAAGTGCTCCAACAGAGCTCTCACAGAGGTGGGAGAGGACAGGAACAGCACCTTGCTGATGTCCTGCAGTGGCTGTGAAGCTGCTGCTGTAAAACAGACTGAGGATGACTATGGAAAAGGTTTGAAAGTGTGAGGGAAAGGGGATTGCTTAACTGGAGGCTATTTTGGTGGGGACAGTGGGAAAGCCAGGCCTGTTATAAGCAGGGATAACAGAACAGAAGAACCAGACAAAAACTTGCTCAGACTAAAGTCAGCAGCCTTCCCTTCCCCGCCCTTCCCTTCCCTCTTCAGGGGTTGGTGACACTGGTTTCCAGATCCTCATGTTTATGTCCAGCCACACTTTTGCTTTGTGCTTAATGGTGACTGGGGCATGTGTGAAAATCATTGTTGCAGAGAGGTGGCTGAGATCTGGAGAGGTGCTAGAGGAGACTAGAGATGGGCTGGGAGAAAGGCTGAAAATTACATCTAAAATACCATTTCAGAGAGCATGCCCCACATTTCTCAGTCAGATTTGCAGGCTGGTTGCTGTCTGTGAGTCCTGAATACTTCACTTTTTTTCCTCCATAACAGCTTAAATTTTTTTTTTTTTTAATATTTCACCTGGTCGTGGTGTTCTTCATTCCTTGTCTTTATTTGTTACAGAATACAACAGCAATATTACAGTTAGATATTTGTGGCAGTGGTAACAATTGAGCAGTAGATAGCCAGCATGCAGGCAATGAGCAGGGAAACTTTCACATCCATGTCAGCATGTAAACTACCACTCAAGTCCAACTAGAAGGTGTCTGACCTTAAAAAAACCCCACATATGATTACGTTGCTACATTTCCTTTGCAGTGAGCAAAACAGTTTGGGATCCTTAAATATGAAAACTAACATATAAATATAAGCTACTAATATTGTGTGAGTAAATCTCTCAATCTTTATTGTATAGAAAGTATGGGGAGAGAGAAAACATCTGTTCCTGTTGATGTGACAGTGTGAGATTTGCAAATAGTGCATCTGTTCTCAGCAGTGGCACTGGGAGGCACTGAGCTCTGCAAAGGATGTTTCTAGTCCCATCTTCACCACTTCTAAGCTTAGGTGCCAGTTCAGGAAAGTATTTTGATTGGTGAATCTCTAAAGCGGAAAACTGTAAAATACATCATTACTAAGTATGTGCTTAATGATCCACTAGAGTAAGTGCAACTTTGCAACAAAGGAAACTCTGTTTCATCATGTGGAAAAAAATCTCAATTGTGAGAATGGCGAAACTTTTGAGCAGGTTGGATAGAGAAGCTGTGACATCTTCGCTGAAGATTTTCAAAACCTGACTGGACAAAGGCCTGAGCAAACAAGTTTAACATTAAAGTTAACCCTGCTTCAAGCAGGAGATGACTAAAGAACTGCCCCCATTCTCCTCACACCAAGGTCTCTTTGAAACGAAATCTTTCTGTGTACAAACATGTCTCCCAGCCGTGAAGAGATGCACCAGGAACCCAGCTTCTCTTAACTTCTAGCCTGAAGGTGCAAATTCTCTCCCTTCACCTTGGGGTGGGGAGAGAGAAGGAGAAGCAGGTCTGTGTAGTTTTGTTAGAAATACAGAGGAAGAGAGGTGACAGGGGAGAGAGGATGAGGAGCCAGAAAGACAGGACAAAGGTGGAACTTCAGGGGAGTATGTATGCAGTAATTTGTACAGGAAACGGACAGTGTTACCTGCATCTGGGGAAACATCATCGTATGAGCACTTAAGAATGAAAGAAGTCAGGCATATGGGGAACAGCGAGAGACCTATACCAGAGAAGATGGTATCTTGGGTATCACATGAAGTTTACAGGAGTAGTTTTGGTTCAAATGTGACAAAGCTGACACCTCTTAATAAACAAACAGGGACTTGAAATACTAAGGTGAAAGGGACCTTAGAAGTAGCAGAGGGATACAAATACCCATTGCATCTCAGAGGTATGAAATTTCTTGGGATCTATTCTCATTTGCTTATGTGTATTTTTAATTAATTATAATTTAATTTCATAGCCCATTAGGAGTACATCCAAAGGGATCTGCTGGATGCCCGTTATCAGGTGTTTCTATGCTTCTCTCTCGCAAAGGGGTGACTTTTGCACTGCGATCATTTTTTTGGTAAAATAAACAAAGCAAGCTACTTGTAATTGGAGAGTCTTGTGTTGCTAAATACAGGATTTTTGTAAGACGACCCTGCAGTCCCAAGTACCTTAGCTTCCATTTGTGTTTCTATGTGCCTATGCTTCAGAGAATGTTTAACCAAGGAAGAAACTACCCTTCATCCCTGTCCCCACTAATTTCATGTAAGAATCTATCTTTCTAACAGAAACTTTATACATGTGAAAAGGCTTTGCCTTGCATGTTGGTGACAGGGTGAGCAAAGAAGGGGAGAAGTTGTCAAATGACTATGTTAGCAAAGGATGAACTGCTTGCAGAGCTTACTTCTGGACTGAGGTTTTTCTTCTATTCAGCGCCTTCCTCCTTTGCCACCTGTTGCTATGGAAAAATACAAAGAAACATGTGAGAACAACTTAAAGCAAAGTCGCAGTACAGGGAAACATGCACAATATCTGAGCATTGGTTAACAAGTGTTCTCAGGTCAGAGACCTAAGCTCTGTGTTACACTTTGAAAGACATATTTTGAAATGAAGAACTTCAATCCTGTCCCCAATTCTCTTCCCACTACCACAATTAGCATCCATACCAATGCATTCAGGTATACCTTGGTTTGATTTATCTAGGTGTGGGCTGCATCAGCTTGGTAGGTAATAAGGAAAACTTGTGCTCTTCTCTGCTTTGAGCTGGTAAGGGCAGTAGATCCCTCTGCTTTTAACCCAGCAAATTTCCTTTAAAGGAAAAAAAGCTAGGCTGTTCTAAAAGGCCACAAGAGGTGGACTAATGGTTTCTGTCTGTCAGCCTGATAACTCCATTCTCGTGTTTTGCTGATTCCTCCCACTTCATCTGTTTTGTATGTTCAAATGCAAACCTCTTGGTTTGGTTGTGAATTTGTATTTGAAAAAAAATTAATGAACTTCCACTGTAGTGCTGATGAAAGCATAACCTAAACCTCCACCGGCCTTTTTCTGTCACTATGTGTTTCAGATTTCTGCCTCTGCCATCCACCAATATCTTTTCAACTTTATGGCATAGTTATTTCTGCTAGTTTGGCTTCCCAACAAGCATAAAGCAACAAACAGGACAAATGTTGCTTCAAGTACAATGCAGCCGCTTCTCTTATTTACAATCCTTCATCTAGTAAATGTATGCTTGAGCTGAAGTACTGCTGACTTCTCAGAAGTCATTTGTTATTTCATCTTTCTTAGGAGGACTCTCACTTACAGATGGACTGGACAGTGGCAGTTGTACCGCCCCTGGGAGTTCCACCTCCATGGGTTCTGGCCTCCTTGGACATCATCTCGGAGGCCCGGGATCCTCCAGAGATGCCGCTGCTGGTAAAACCTGATGAATGGGTTGAGCATTTGGCACCTAGAACAGTTACAAAGGAGATGTTAGTGACGGGAAGGAAACTTGCAGGATAATTATAAGCTACTATGTTTAAAAAAAAAATTCAAGGTTAGCAAATGTGTCAAAAGACAAAGACACTGCTGATTACTTGACTTGTTCCATCAGCATACTGCTTTTTAGCTGCCATCTTGGGGAAGGGATATTTGCAGTTCTTTGTGAATGTTCCCAGAACACAAAGAAAATCTACAACTCTTGCACAGACAAATGCTGATAAATCTGGATCTCCAAAACAGTTTCAGCAGAGTTTGCCTCTGCTGAAATGTCAGTTTTCTGAGGAGCTGCCTGAAGACTGTGGATCAAAAATCCCCAGGAACTAAGGTTAGCTGAAGACCTCAACATGTATTGTTCCAGGTGATGGATATGTTCCTTTCACTTCATTTTCCATAGCATAAACCTATGCATAATAGATACCTGTAGAATTCAAACACAGCAAGCTGTGGTAGCCAGTGGCCAAATTGTATGTATCATAGGATCATAGAATCATAGAATGGTTAGGGTTGGAAAGGACCTTAAAGATCATGTCTCCATGTCTCCATGTATGTCTCCATCTCATTACAGATAAGCCCCAAGCAAAGTATTCCATTGCAAACTTTTCTTCTCCTGGGAGCGGAGTAAAGCATTAGTGATGGCAAATGTTAGTGATAATGCTTAAAGCGTTCCTGGAGGATGCTCAAATATTTTGGTGATGAGCTTGTTATAACATCTTCTGTAAAGTGATACTGAACAATACTCATGCCTTGCTGCAGAATCAGCCGCTCCTTCGAGCATGTTTGTTCTAGGGGGAGGAGGGGTTACAGTCTGAATGAAAAGGTTAAGAAGATGTGTTTGAAGAGTGAGAGATTTCAGTGAGCACCTGCGGAAATGAAATCAGGCCCTTTTAGCTCTCAATCAGGCAAAGACTCTGTGGCACGCTCTCCTGCTGCAGGGAGCCAAAGCTCACACCTGCTTTGGCAATGTTACAGAGCTATCATTTTTCACACGGATAAAAGCTCCTTTGGAGTATCTCCTGTAGGCATGACTAAGGTTTCCTTGAGCCATGCATATTTGTCTTCACCAAAATAGTGGTTTTCATAAAAGTCCATAGTTGATACTGACATTGCAAGACTAAAATTAGGTGTTGTTAAATGTTTACTTTGCTTCTCTCTCTTCTAAAGATTCTCAGCACATGGAGGGATACAAGTCTTCAGTCTTTTAGTTTAGAAACAGCAGCTTCATGCTCTTTAGAGGGCATCACTGCTGAAGAGTCTGGTACTGGTTATGGGTGTGCTGAGTGGTGCTGGACCACTCTTATCTGTGACAGAAGGCAAGATTGTGCAGCTGGCTCTGCTCTAGTGTATGATTAGACTAAGTAACTGGCATGCCCTGTGTACCAGGATCTCTGCTACTAATGCAGTGTGGTTCCTGAGAGCAGGTCTTACTGGTCTTCACTCTCTTGGTCCTCCTTCTCTCCTGACTGCCTCTCATATTCTGTCCCTCTGCTGCTACCATCCCTTAAGCTTTTTGCTGTTAAATATTCAATAAACAGTGTATTCAGTAACCTAAACACGCTCATCACATCATACAGAGTTGAAGTTTTCAAATGCCCCGCAGGAGTCACATGCAGTATCTCTCTAAATGACCCTAATGTCACTTATTCCCTCACTGCCCAGAGAGCCTCATGCTATGAATAATATTGTCAGAAATGTAAATAATATCTTTTAAAAAAAAAACTTACTTCCTCTCAATCAAGCTTATCAATTTTTTTTCTACTAAAAGATGGACCAAGCTTCGACCCTGGCCAGCTCACCTGGCCAACCACCCATTTTCTGGCTAGAAGAGTCAGGTTCAGCTCCATCCTTCAGTAGACTTCCAGCTGCTTACTACAAAAGGAGCAGAACAGTGGTTGACCAATATGGCAGAGATCCCCACCTATAACCAGCCTGCTGGTTCGCACACTCCTGACACATGGGAGATGTGAGTTTGAGACTCCTAAGGCAAAAAGGGGTTTGAAGCCTTTATCCAAGGTCAGCGAGCTAACAACTGTGCTGCTGGGTAAAGCAGGATTACATGGGGCACTGTGTCCTGTGGAGCTGTGCCTGCTTAGAGGATGCCTGCTGAATCAGGTCACACAGGCAGGACTGGCAAGGAGAATACCTTGTACATGAATCCCACCAGATCTGGGGTTAAACAAGTGCCAAGCTGCTTAGAGTTGTTTGGGATTGCTCTGTGCACGCAACAGAAAAGCAAGCACCTGCAGGGTTAGCTCATGTGAAAGCCAGCTATGCCTGATTTCAGTACTTGGATATGTGCTGTCCAGGATGTGCATCTATTCCTTTTGTGAATTCAGCTCTTAGACTGCAGCTGATTTCCCTCTTCTATAGCACTTGCATAAAGTTTTATAGGTTCTCCCTGTGTGGATGTGTGTGAGCAAAGATGAAGGGAAATCTGATAATTTATATGAAATGTAGGTACACAGATCATGCTCTTGCATAACTGTATTGTTGCTTATTGCTGCCATGACTTTCCATATTATTGATGATTGCTAGCAAAATGGAGAGATAGCACAAACTTCAAATAAACACTGTCCTGGATCTCATGAATACCACATATGTATGTGTACATTCACGCATATGTACATACACAGAAAATGCCCTTAATAGCATCCCACTCATAACATACAGTTAAATATAGGAATCTTCTGTCTTCAGTGTATTAGAGGAATGTAGGACAGAAGAGATTACTTGGCAAGCTTATTTTCAAGGGAAAAAAAATTGTTTGGCCCTATGCACTAAACCACAAAACCACATACACACAAAACTGCTCGTACCCATTCCTTGGAGAGTAGAAGTAGGGCCTCCAGAACGCACGCCTCCCCCAGATGCTTTCGCTTCGCTGGACATCATAGATGAAGCAAGAGATCCTCTTGAGATCCCGGAGGAAGTGAAACCAGCATTGCAGACGTTTCGGTCAGACATTTCTCTTTCTGACAGTGTGGAAGCCACTGAAGCTTTGCAATGCTCAGCCAATCTTTTTATACACTTTCTAGCTCACAGCAGAGAAATGAAACTGCTACCATGATCAGGAAGGAAAGAAACCGAAACTTATCCTCATCCAGGAAACAAAACTGAAACTTAGGAACATGCCTTTTTATTGCTGTTGTCAGGCTGAAGTTTAAGCAAACCAACTAATTTCCTCTTATGATACTAAAACAAATTAGCAGCATATGAATCATTAATTGGCAACTGACGTGGCTGTGAACTTTGCTTCTACATTCTTCTGCATTGCACTCTATTGTACTGAATTACACCTGTAGAAGATAGCCCCTCGTTTTAAGAATTAACACAACTCTGAGTAAAGACAGCAGTCAAAAAGGTGGTGAAGTGGGGGGCATGCAGAAACTGCAACTTGAGTTGGTTATAGCACCCACAGTTCAGCTGCGGTATAGCTACCCACGAAAAAGAATGGTTTACAGAGAGCTGGAAATCAGAACTCAATTAAGAATGGATGGTTGAAATTAATTTCTTTATGGAAGGAGCTGTTAGAGGACCTTGTGTCCTATGAGCAGATTGGCACAGATGTTTTGTTCTTCCTCATGCAAATCCTGCTAAAGCAGAGCCTCCATCTTTAATGAAGAGGCCCTTGTAAATGGCACACACTCCTCTATTGCAGTTTTTCTTAGCCAGGAGTTTAAATAAGGCTGTTTGAAAAACCTCCTCCCTTAGGTAAAGAGGAATATCTGATTAGGTCACACAACCACAGGGATAGCTCTGAACGGTTGTATAATATCTATATGTTGTACATAGTGGGTTCTAGAACAAAGGATACAAAGCCTGTTCCTTTCTTCTTATATGTGCTACTTATCTGAGCAGTGGGATATCTAACCCATGCATCCCTGAGCAGCACTGCTCTTTTAACTCTTTTATTTCATTCAATTTTTCTTTAATTCATATATGTTAATTTTCTTTAATTGTAATGTTTGCTATTGTTATTTTCTACTCTGCTTGCATTAGGTCTTCTGTAATTATGATGCATCTTTGTCCCCATAATTTCTCAAGTCTCATTTTGAATTACTTAATGTTATAAAATATATAAAGCTGCAGCTTAAATGCAAGTAAAATTCCATGTAAGAATAGGACAATTAATGCTATAAGCCCTCTTCAAAGTGACAATAAAACAAAAAATGTCACTTTCTCTGTACATATTGCTACAGATCCTTCTTTCAAAACTGCTAAAATCTTTTGGTGCTTTGTTAATATCATTTATTCCATATTCCAAACAGCCCATCAGGAAACAATGTCAAAGTCTGGTAAAGCCACAGGGAATTAAGGCTTCCCAAACTTGCAGAGACTCTATATGTGATGACCTTTTACTCAATCCTAAAACGCAATTCATAATGGATACACACACAGTTGTTTAACTAAAAATAGTTACAATTAGATAAAATAAAAGTTTTATTGCAAGCAAAGTGCCTCAAGGCAATTCATGATTAGCAGAGATATCAGTGAATAAGAAGGGAAAGGAGAAATTAACAGCAGTCTCATAAAAACAAGGTGAAGAAACTCAATGTAGTAAGGAGAAGGAAGCCACCGAAGGGATTCGAGGGAAGCCTCTGTTTACAAGTGTGCCATGGACCTAGTCAGCAAGGAGGTGGCTCTAAAATCTGCTACATGGTTGCAACGAGTTGGACAAGGAACATGTGAGCAGACACAGATGACACCCTGCTAAAACCTGCCGAGCTCTGCCTACCTTCACGCTCTTGTTACTGTGGTGGCACAGCAAATGTATGTTATGGAGAAGTTCTGACCTACAAGGGCTTTACTTTTACTTGCTTTCAGCTTATTATGAAAACTTGGGACAATCTCTTGTATGAAAATGAATGAAAACAAGGTCAATCTGTGGTACCTGTGTCAGGGCTCACTCCGCTATTAGGTCTCCCCTGGGCCTTCAGTCCATGCTTGAGCATGGTGGTAGCTGCCCGCCTGCAGCTCCATCACAGCCATCCCACATCCAGACCGAGCTGCAGCCTGGTGTCATGGCTTGACCTTGGACCTGCCTGGTTAGCCAGGACAGACTCGCCCAGCAGTCACTGGATTATGACAAACCGTGGCTGCCACCACCAGGCCTGAGCCTGATTTGTTGGCTCATGTTTCTGGCTTGACATTGGACTTGCCTTATCACTCCAAACTTGCCTGATGATTCGGACCCTTGGTTCAACCTGCCTATCATCTCTGGGTTTGCTGTGCTCTCCTTGCTTGGGGTGGTGGGACAGGGCCTTGCTGTGCCCTGGCAACGTGTGACACCACTAACAACACAGCCTCCCATTTAAAAAGACCCAGTGTCACTGCTTGAAGTGGGACTGGGAGGAAGAACTCAGCCCCTGAGCCCACAGCTTCCAGAGGTCCTTTTCCTCCACTGATTCATCCACAAAGATGTGCTTCACCTCAAACCTGCTGGCTTTGTGTGAGATGTTTTCCTACATGGTCCTCTCTCTCATTTTGCTTTGTTTTACCAGTATCTCTGGTTAGAAAGTGTAACCTCCAAGATGTTAGGGAAGTGTAGTTGATGTCCAGGCGAATTTGCAGGGAGCTTGGCATAGAAGCACTAAGGCAGTTGTCTTTGTGTGCTGTTTGCCAAAAATCCAAGCAGAGACAATTTAAGAGCCAAACTGATGAAGCTTCTAGTTAAAGTATGGAAGGGAAGAGAAAATAGCTCATTTGTATCACTGAGCCTGACATTATAACAGTAGATTAGATCTGTCAGAGTATCTGAGTAACTTCCCTGCTCCAGAAGCTAAAAATCTGAGGAGATAGGTGGTGTGAGAACAGACAGTCAAAGCCATGAATACCAAGGGTACGACTACCTTGGTTTTCAGTGTCACTACAATTGCAGTAGCCCTAGGTGCTGAAGCATTTATACGTGTAGCTGACATAGTTTAATGTTCAACTCTCCGAGTTCCAGGTTCAAACAGAATCCTTAAGTGTCAAAAATCATGTGCTGTCTAGACTGTGTGCTCTTTGAAAGGAACTGGAAAACCAGAGGCTGGATTGGAAGCACTCTGAAAATTTGAGCTATGGGCATCCTTCCCTTCTTCAGTTTAAAAAAATTTAAAAAAGAAAGAAAAAAGCATGCTAAGCTGAAAACACAAAACAAACCAACAGACCCAGATGTACATGCAGCTTCTGTATTTTGCTCAGGAATGACATTACTCACGTGAGTCTGTGGATATAAACTGCTGTGTCTCTTTGGTATGTTTTCCATGAAGTCCTCACCAGTGTGCCACTTAGAGATACTTTCCTCATAGTGAAGCTGGGCAGCTGATCACAGACATTAATCTCTACGTAACCTGCTTTTGGTAGTCACCTTTATAATTTCAATAACATATTCATTGAAGTCACTTTTTCATAAACATTTTCCTATAAACCTCTGTTTCAAAAGAGATTATTCAAACAGCTTTTAAACGATTACTCTTTTGAAGGGCCTAATTGAAGGAAATAAACCTGTAGAGAATCTGACTGAACCAAAGATCTTCAGCATCCGAGATTATCTATCAGTCACCCTGTGACCTATTTTCTTCACACTACTTTTTAATTTTTGTAGCAATTATAGTGTATATGGATAATACCTATTAGCATATTTATGGTCACTGCTTCATATTTATTGTCTGCACAACTCATTAATCTTCATCTAGTGTGTGAGGCTGACAGCTCAATCTATTTTGCAATCTCTGGGCAGTAGCCATATCTAAAAAGCTTTTGTTTCCCTGTAAATAAACTGTGTTCGCGACCAGAGGACAATGGTACATCATGCAGTGATTGACACAAGCCATGGCTGCTAATCAAAAGTAGATTTTATTACCAGCTGAGTCAAGTGTATTACGGGGCCATTGTTCTAGTGCTGTCAGGGCAAGAGCATACGTAGTCAGTCACCTTCTCAAGATGGCTTGATTGTTCTCCAAGATTAGACAGAATTGTCTTATTATCCATCCCAGACAACAAGGCATCTCACCCAAACAGACGCCTTTACAGAATCTGCCTGTACATTGAATTGATTTGAATTGCTAATGCATAATCTGTCCAGCACAGATGTGCAATGAATATTTGGATGTTGTTTTGCATGTCAGTTGAGAAGGCTGAATGATGAGGTGATGATCATTCAGTGATGGGTACTGGACATTTGCCAACAATTGAGTTTGAGCACTTTCCCTGACAGTAATCAGATCAGCTTCCAAAATGTCTTTTCTTCAATTCACTGACAATTTATGTTAGAAGATAATGCAACTCTCTCACAGTTAACACAGTTGGCAGCAATTTGCATTTTTTTCATATAATTAAATTTTTCATTTCACCCAAGAAGAAATACATACAAGCCGCATATAACTCATGCATATATTCCAAGACATTTCCAAAGGAATTCCACTTGAATAAGAGGCCATCTAGATAAGCCAGAAATGTTGAAACACTCCATAATACAGGTGGCACTAGTTTTATTAGTTATAAAGCTACATTTGCTGTGAAAAATTATGAACCTTGGTATCAAGCTGTATTAGGTAAGCTCTCCAAAAAAAGCAATTAATGTAATAAGCATTTAACATATGACCATGGTCATACTTAGAGTAGGTCAGCAAACACAATGTTCTGATGTAAAAATTAGTCTCTGTCAAGATTGACATAGTATAGAATAGGAACAGAAATGAACCCCCCAAGACTGTTATTATGCTATCAAGAGACTGATACGAGCTCACACAGTGACATCACATGATTCATGTGAAACTGAAAGAGGTCTTTATGTAGTTATAATCATAGAATCATACAAAAATTTAGGTTGGAAGAAAGCTCTGGAGATCATGCAGTCTAGCCAGGGACTTACCCTGTTACTTCCTCAGAGACACTTGGTTGAGTTCTAAGTATCTCAAAAGATGGAGACTCCACATTCTCTCTGGGCAACTTGCTCTAGTATTTGACCACCCTTACAGTGA